TACAGCTGGATCCAAAACCCGGTTAATAACTACAACAATGATTATAAATAAATATCTCCCATTCAACTCAGGATTTCACATTTCACATTTCTCTGTCATGCTTCTTATTTGCAGAAGACTAGAGAAATAACAGAAATAACACAAAAGCCACTTTAATCAGGTGTATCTCCAAGGTTTTAGAACACGATTTGTTTTCTCGGCATTACTGGATGATAGGTCAGGAGAACCACCCCTGAATTCCTAGTTTGATAACAAACAGGGGTTTTTTTTGTTTTTGTTTACTTGTTTGTTTATTTTAATTAGCAGTGTTTAGCCGGAAGTTAACAGAAGAGGCAAGTAAAAGGAATCTGTCATTCTCCTCAATTTTGACCCTTGCTTTGACCTGAGGTTTCATAACGGCACACACAGGATGGCCAGGACCATGGAAAGCTCATTCTAAATCAAGCGTGGGCCAGGCACCCATTACCATGATCGCTTTCTTTAGTCCTATCAATAACCTTTCGAACAGCTAGTATGATTGTACCTCCTACACTATAGACAGAGAAACTGACGCTCAGCGAGATTAAGACCTTTTTCTAAGGTTACAGATGTGGTAAGTAGTTGAGCAGAGATTTCAACCAAGGCCAATAAATGGCGAGAATTATTCCTGAAGCTGATACTTGATGCTAAGCCAAAACAGTATGATAGGATACTAGTAACATGAGAATTTCATTATCACAATGTTTTTATCATTGGTAAGCAAACTACAGCCTTGTGGGCCACAGATGTGTCAATGTGTTTACATACAAGGGCACTTCTAAAAGTTCATAGAAACGTTCATTTTATCTTTCAATTCTATTTTTCCATGAACTTTTGGCAGTACCCTCATATTTTTTGGCCTCTTTTCTGAGACAATAGCAGAGTTGAAGAGTTGCAAAAGAGATTGTAAAGCCTAAATATTTACTGTCTGAACGTTTACAAAAGAATTTGTCAGTACCTGGCTTACATTCTCTGCCATGGGAGGTCTGCTGATCTCTCTGGCTCAGTAATTCAGAGAAGAGGAGAGAGACATGTTTCCTATAGAGCAGGAGGATGATCTAGGCCATAAGTTGTTAACTGGTGGTCCATGGATCGCTTATACAGTCCATGAACGGGATTTAGAGACCCCGAACTGGATGCAAAAGAAGATGTTTGTCTTTCTAGGCATTTTGAAGATGAGGGTGGGGCTGGGGGGAGGGTTTAATCTAATCAAATTACAATATTATTCACTCCAAGGAAATGTAAGGTCTGGGCTGGTACTAGGCCCAATCAGAGCTATGCAGTTATCCATTATACTCTTTCAGGTTAAGAAATAGAATGATTTCTTGTTATAAGAATTAAAGAAAATACACCTGACAGCTATGATTATAAGTCAATCTCTCCCCCCACCCCCCTCTCTCTCTTTGTTCACACTGGACCTAGCCTAGGTTAGAAAACAAAGTACAGAAGAGGTGTGGTAAAGTTTATGTATCCTTTGACTTATTTTTACCCCAAATTTGGGTTCAAATCCTGACTCCTCCTCTTAATAGCTATTTCAGCATGAACTACTTACCCTCTCCAGGCCTCTGATGAGACACAAGTTCTGGGTTCTGGTGCTTTTTGTGTGTAAGGTTCTCGCCCACAAAAGAACACAGCTATGACAGGACCCTGCATCTGTATCTCCTAATAATACATGTCACAGTAGGATCTTTTTTGTGAGAGGAGGCCTCAGCTCGAAAGGCTGGAGCTTGACCAAAATTTGTATTTTCTCCAATACAAAGGTCTCTCTTATGACATTCCGTAAGATTGCTCATAGCATTGACAAGAAAAACCATCTCACATAATTAGAAAGGCCTCAGAGTGGCCATATGTCCTGGGAACGGTTGATAGGTTTATTGTCTGGAGCAGAGAGAACACCAAAGAGGGGCCTCTGCCAAGGGCTTCACCGTCTCTAGAACTACTGTGATGTTTTCTTACTTAATTCAACCAGCTCTTGGTTTTGGCCATTATGGCTAATTTATTTTTTTCACATCCTTTAATACTCAGCTCAGGCCTACAAAAGAATGATCCTTGAAGGCCTGAGCTGATTTTTAGCCACTTACCTGCACGGATACCGTGTTCTGTGTTTAATGCTACATTATATTTAAATATATTCATGTGTCTGACTCCCAAACAGACTTCCAGCTCCTCTATAGACAACCTTTCTCTCTCTCTCTCATATCCTAGAACACAGTGCAGAGTAATAATATGAAAACCTTACATAGTGCCTTAGCCACTTACCTGCACGGATACAGTGTTCTGTGTTTAATGCTACATTATATTTAAATATATTCATGTGTCTGACTCCCAAACAGACTTCTAGCTCCTCTATAGACAACCTTTCTCTCTCTCTCATATCCTAGAACACAGTGCAGAGTAATAATATGAAAACCTTACATAGTGCTTACCACATGCCAGATACTGTCCTATGTATCTTTGACATACTATTTTATTCTTATACCATACCCAAGAGATAAACACTAATATCCTAAATTTTTAAACGAAGATACTAAGGCACAGAGTGGTTAAGTAACTTGTCCAAGATTGCACAGCTATTAAATGGTAGAACTTGGAGCAGAGCCAGAAAGTCTAAATCCAGACCCCATCCTTAACCACTAACCCTATCCTGCCTCATAGATTCTCAGTAAATGTTTGTTCAATTGACCTGAACATTACTTAGTACAGATGAATTCATACAAACATCTGTTCTTGAAGGAAAAAGAATAAATAAAGTCTCAGATTCTTTAAAGTTTTATCAGGATATAGATAAATGATAATAAACAAAGTTTTCTAAAAAATATCAATAGCTTTGATTTTCATATTATACAAAATTAAACTTGACCACCAAAGGCCTTTCCAGGCACAAAGTCTCTTTAGGCACACATGTGGAATGGTTGTGTTTTAGTAATCAACTGTTCACTTATTACATACTTCCATCTGAAAGAACAGAAGGTTCTGGATGTAAGGTCAATGAGTTTTTCGTTGTTTTTCTTTTTTTAAATTGCTGGCATCAGCTGTCGAGGGTTTGAACACTGACTCGTTGTCTCTGAAATAAACTGCTGACTGCCAAAATCCACCCCCAAAGTTACTCTGATGAAGCAGTAACAGCAGACACAACCAGTTAATACCTTTATTCAGGCAGAGTTTAAAATAGGGCAGAACCGGTTTTGAGTTTCTCATAAAAGCACTGACTTGAAAGTGAAAGAAAAAAAAATTAAGCCAACAGAGTGTAGGAGGAAGTTCTATTACTGACCTTCAGTACCCCTGTGTTTACAGAATAACCTTAGCATGAGGCACTGGGAGGGAGCGAGTCCCTTGTGGTCTGTGAAAACTTGGTGAACGTGGAAGAGTATGACAGACACTGAACAGACACTGAAGCCTGACAGTAACTGTGCAGATCTGTGTAAAACAAACTTTCACAAAAAAATCTGCACAAAAACCTTTACATTGCAACAATGCCCTACAGTAGCCACTGAAATAATGACGATGACGACAGTGATGACAATCCCAGAGTAATAATAAATAAAATAATAGGATATGCATGCCAAGCTGATTACTTTTTGTTTTCTATTTTTTAAAAAAGTCAAATTGCCAAGTAGTAAAATCCGATACATTATTTGAATATAGTAGAAAAGCAGAGTGAACATTTGTCCTGTTTGTTCATTCATTCATTTACTCATTTGTTTATTTTTGGCAGCTCAGACTCTGTTGTCCCTTTTTGAAGTACTTGGATTTCCTGCTGGGAAATTCCCTCTTGCCTCACTTTGTGACATCTTCATGGAACCCCAAGGTGCTCTGCCTGCCCTACCTTCTTCCTTCCAAAGAAGTCAGAGGAGGCTGCCTTGGCAAGATCAACCAGCTCAGTGCCCTGGTAGGGACAAGGAGCAGGCACATGACCTAAGTTCAAACTAAGCAAAAGGATTTTCTTTTCCTAGGACTTTGATGAGAAGAGAGAGAAAAACAAAAAACAAGCAAAAAAAACTGGTGTAAGTTTACACATTCATTCCTGAGAGGGTGCTCAAGACAGGCTGGCCAGATGCCCGTTTCCTGTCTGCTGCATGTCATGTTCTTCACTTCCCTTCAATTCTTTGCACTTTCCTACACTATTTCAATAGTTTCCCCCTTTCTCAAGTGATCCCAACTCTGTTTCAACTGTTCACCCCCCAAAAATAAGTGCTGGGTACCAGCTGAGCAGGGAACCAAGTGAACACCATGTTGACTAAATTGGCCAACTGGGCCGTAAATGAGGACAGAAGCTGAAAGAGGACACAGACTGGAAACCTCTGGGGGGCTGAGATGCCACGTGTGCAGTGTCAGAGAGCACAGGTGAAGGTCACCAGGGTTATGGCATTCACGAGATAGACTAAGCCCCAGAGACACAGCAACAGTCCCAAAGAATGTTTATACTTGTGACAAAGTTAGGACTATAAACTGACATTGTTACATTCAGAAATGGCTGCCACATCATAGAAAAACCTACCAGGAGATGAAGGAGGCTTCCATTTTCTCATTCAAAATTAATGTTCAAAATAAAGCAACTAGATCACAGATCACAACTCAACATGCTGAAACATTCTGAAGAAATGTACTCCTTTGTGCTGTGAGCTCACCTTTCCTATTCACTTGACTGAGTGATGAAATTAGGCTGATCGCTTTCATTTGGTTTATAGCTGGTTTTACAGCCCAGCTCATCATTAAGACTGTTTCCATCTGAATTCACAGGCCCAAAAATCTTCCCATGAGCCTTACTTTCATAAATTCACTTATAACAAGCTCATGTTAAATTTTACATAACATTATTTAAAGTTAAAACCCAAAATAAAATTACATCTTCCATTTAAAACGTCTCTAAAAATAATTTTCTGGATTAATAAATACTGCCAGATCCACATTACCTCATTTGTTTAGAAACAAATATATAAGTAAATAAGTAAATAAATTCACTTTTATCTGTCTAATCGTACCTGAATAGGGACTCTCTCGATAGCCAAATTTCATTCTGCTTCACAGTTTTCCACGAGAAAAGCAACAGCAACAACACGGTGGACACAATCAAGGTGGTGGCCCCACATCGATTTAGCCAGGTGCAGAGCTTGCTTAGTCCATGCACAAAAAGGATGCAGTAACCCATGCTGGAAAACAGGGTGGAAGGCACAGGGTGAGCATTCTGCCTCCTATAACTAACTTTCAAATAAAGCCGGAGAAACAAATATAAACTCCTCTATCTTAGACAACATGGACATGTCAGTTCTCTAAGTTTGCTGGGTCTTTGGCACTAATGGGGAGAAAATAGGTTCATCTTGTAGGCTCAAAGTGCCCTGGATTTCAGCAGATTGGGAATCATGAAAAGTCCCACATGTATGTTCACTGGTCCTGAATGGACCCTCTGACCCATGCTCCCTCATGTCACTGTCACTGTATAACCCTTTTGTTACCCTATGTCCAAATTTGGAGATTATACTGCAGCAGGTCACATTATAGCTTTGTAGGGGACAGTCTCCGAGAGCTCCCTATCAGGTCCTGGGAGGGATGCTGGTCACCAGTGGTCATCAATCTCTGTTTCCGCATATGTGATGCCTAGTGTGTCCCCCACTTTCACTAGCCAAAGCCCTTCCACTTTGGAAAATCCACCCACAGGCTGCCACCTGAGCCTCACAGCTTGGAGCTCATCACAGACAAGCTGTATTGTTATGATTCTCCTGCTGACTCCGGCCTGGCTTTCCTGAAAGGCATAAAGAGTTCACATGTTACCGGAGTGGCACCTTGGCATTTCTATATCCTGTCTCTAAAAGTCTTTGGCTTGGTGAAACATGGTCCCTCATGTCATGCACATTCCCACAGAGATGCTTCCTGCGCGGCCTGGCTTTCCTGAAAGGCATAAAGAGTTCACATGTTACCGGAGTGGCACCTTGGCATTTCTATATCCTGTCTCTAAAAGCCTTTGGCTTGGTGAAACATGGTCCCTCATGTCATGCACATTCCCACAGAGATGCTTCCTGCGGAATGGACTCAGAAAAACAGAAACTTTTAGTTTGTACCCATTATTGTGGTGTGTATTTTAGTCAAAATCTGCTTCTTTGCAGAGATAACTACACATTATTATAGAATATCTTAAGAATGAAACAAGCTTGTGTAAAGAAATCTTAATTAGTCAGAAAATAATACTGTAAGAAGCCCCTAATAAATACAGCCCATATGCTTTTCAATTATTTCATTCTTTCATTTATATGACTGGTAATATGCTAGGCACTAGAAATGATGAATAAAACACAGGCCCTTCTCTCAAAGAACTCAAGTCTAGTGAACCAGGTTGGTCTTGTAATAGGAAACTGAATATTCTCCTTCCTAACACAATTTCTTTGGAAAAAAAGCAATTCTCTACTTTCCCCCTATTCTCCTTTCTAAATGTCTGTGCTTTGATATCTGGTGTAGAAAAACAAGAGAGAAACATTTGAGGTTTATGAATGTGGAGGCACTGGGAATCAATTCAAGTTAGAGCTTCAATTCCTCACTTCAAGTCCCATAAGCCAGTTGGTCCAGCTCTCTAAGGTCTTAGGGTTCACCATTTGGCCAAAAGGAGTCACCTTCCTACTCACCACTGGGAGACAATGATTTGAGCTAAGGAGGCCCATGTCTCCTATCCCTTCACTCCAAGCACTGGATTTGATTGCCACAGGTGCCTTGCAGAAGCCCTGCACATGCCAGAACAAAGTCCCTAATGCAAAAAACCACACATGTGCGCACACGCGCGCGCGCACACACACACACACACAAACAAAATCTAAAAACCTCTTCCCACTTCCACAAGTTCCTCATTCAACGCGCGCACACACACACACACAAACAAAATCTAAAAACCTCTTCCCACTTCCACAAGTTCCTCATTCAACCTTAAATGTATGAGCTTTTCTTCAAATCCTTTGTTACTATACAAGGACCTTGCTAATCATTACTGTACCCAACCACAATGGCTGCTCAAGGTCATGAAGCTGCTTGCCACTTGTTTCTCTAGCCCCAGCAAAATCGCAACCCAAGCTGAGCAGGGTGATTCTAAGGTCATCTGAAGGCCCTCTGGCCTCCATATTTTCATTCATCAGATATGAAACGAACATCTACTGTGTACCTAACACTATTAAAGATATCAAGAACATACCAGTGAACAAAACAGACAACAATCCTTACCCTTGTGGAACTCACGTGGGTGGAGAGAAATAGCTAATAAGTAAATAAAACACAGAGCATGTACACAGTGATATGTTACATGGAGGAAAGTCAAGCAGGGAGGAGGTCGAGATTTTAATATGGGTGGTCAGGGAAGGCCTCACCGACATTTGAGCAAAGACCTGACGTATGTGGGGAATGTGCCACGCAGATACCCCCATCTGCAGCACCACTCTCTGCCCACTCCTGCCCACACAAAGCAACACTGCTAAGAGCTAACAATTATGGAGCCCATCTCACGTGCCCAGCACTATCTGTATTTGACCTCAGCACATCCTCACAACCCTATGGGTCACCATGATTAATGTTTAGCCCATGAAAACACTGAAAAAGAGAGAGGTTAACTGACTTGATGAATTAGGTCACCCATCTAGTCAATAGCAGAACAAAAGATACAAACCCAGGAACTTCGGATCCCAGAACCCCCACTCCATATGCTGTCCTGCTGTCGGCGTTTTGACCTGACTGTGTTCCTCACACCTCATCACATGCCATCACCTACTTTCTTCCTAACTACTCCATTCATGAAATCTCAGTAGTCATTTACTGCCTCCTTGTAGGAAACAGAGCTGCCATCTGGCAGAACAGTGGGGAAGAAAAACCCTGGGATTCCAATAACTCAGAGCGACGGCCACCAAGTGGCAGAAGACAAGAATAATGAAGACAACAACAAAAATGACTAGCTACTTTATGTCTGTACGTTTACCGAGCACTTCCTACATGCCAGACACTGTGCTAAGTGCTTACCTGGGCCTGTCCATAATATCTGTAGCACCTAGAGCGAGGACAGTACTTTAAATCTGCTCTCTAACGAAGAAACTTTAATCCTCAGCATCCTCCCCTTTCGTAAATGAGGAAACTAAAGTTTAGAGGAGTTAAATAAAATAACTTGCCCACAGCCCCAAATGCTAGTAAGAGAGTCAGATGTGAAGACTCATTGCCCTAACGCTATGCTATAATCTAGGGCTCAGCAAAATTTTTCTGTGAAAGGCCAGATAGTAAATAAGTTCAGGCTTTTCAGGCCATGAAGTCTTTGTCCTTACCATTCAACTCTGTCTTTGTAGCAGGAAAGCAGCCATGGACACTATATAAACAAATGGGCAAGGCTGTGTTCCAATTAAATGTATTTATAAAACAGGCTGTGGGCCAGCTTTGGCTCACAGGCCATACCTAGTTTGCTGACCCCTGGTACAACCAAAATGAAGGGCACTGCTGCTTTCCAGTCTGCACAGGCATCTGTATCAAGTAACATGGGAATCTTTTTCCTCAAAGTCCTTGTATTGACATATGGTTTAAAGAAATGTTAAGCCATACAAAATAACCTCTACTTCGGCTTGCACATATTTAGAGAGTATTACATTTTTAAAAACCTGACACAAATAACACAGAGATCAAGATGTTTCTCCATTACGAAACTTCATTTTCAACATCTGCTTTAATGCAGATCTCAGCAGCAGGGGAGAGAAACTTGCTCTCTCCATCGCTATGGGCAGGACAAGGCCTCATTTTGAAAGTGGGAAATTAAGCAAATGAGAAACTACATGCTTTTCTGGCCTCCAGGGAGGTGAAACCAGAGTCCAGTTTGCTCTGGTTAGTCTGGTTAAGGCAACTCTGGGCTGCTCACTAGGGACCTCCATACCAATGACAAAGGAGCCAGTACAAACCACTGACACTTAACCAAATCGTAACCTGAAGAACCAAAAGCCAAACTGGCTGCCGGTGTATGGTTTAGCTCAGTACTAAGACGCATTTGCTGAGCACGTTTGAGAAGCACCATTGCTGCCTCAGAAAACGGAGGAAAACCTGCACACACAGACACCATCTCATTCACAGGCTGATGCATCTCCAATTTTGACGATGATTTTATTGACAACCTGCTCAGCATGCAACACTTAAACAACTAAAGACACATGCATTTTTTGCTTACACTTTTACGATGCACAAAGAGAATTTAAAGGAAACAGCAAACCAACAATGCTTGTGCTTTTGCATTAGAATAAAAGATGTTTCAAATCTCTTATTTAGGAATTTTGTTAACAGCTAACCATTGTGTAACAGTACCAATGCACCTTCATGAAACTTGCCCAGAAGCTTTTAAGTGATTAAAAAAAAAAAAAAAACCCTCCAAAAACATTGCCATTTCCATTCACTGAAAAGATGACAATTTTCTACCTCTGGCCCAAGCATTTTATGTGTGCTGTGACTCTACTCTCTGTTTAATTATATGCAATGAAGTATCTCTTTGCTATTAAGTAGAACTAAAATTCTACTTTTTAATTTGTCTGCAAGCTCAAGTAACCCACTGAGAGTACCTGTAAATAGTGTTAACAGTACAAGACAGTTACAATCTTATCATTTTATTTCATTAAAGAATTCCCGATTTTAGACAGTCTACGTGAAACCTATCCCTAATTAAATTCATTCCAATTGGCTGAATCCCCACCTGGCAAATTATCAATGGTAAGATCTTATTCCAGTTCCACGGATGTTGATCTGAAATGATTAAATGATAAAGCCCTGGAACACTGAGCAGAAAATAGGTGTTTGATGCTGCAATACAAGAAGTACCAAGAAGTCAGTGGTAACTCCTCAGATCAGATTTTAGCTGGAAGCTGCTGGCTTCTGTGAGCCAAGACTCATTAATGTCCCCATTCCCCCCACACCCCTCATTCTTTCTTTATCTCAAATGTTTGATGGATGGGGAAATTTTCCAGAAGACTGAATGTATTTAGAAGTGAGAGTTTACTCATATTCTGAGGAAAGAATTCCCAAAGGCATCTCGGTGTATTCCCCAACCCTCATGTTGGATGTTATGCTCCTGGGCTAGATATGAAAGGTATCTTTATATGTAGTTCTCCATGAAATAGATTTCTTCTGTTCTTTTCCAGTGCATCTATGGAACAACTGGGAG